TTAGTGTTTTGTTGAGGTCTTTTTTTTTTTTTTTTACTGTTTTTATTGTTCTTCTTTGTTTGTTTTGTATTCCTGTAGCACTTTAGGTCTGAGAAAAGTGCACTATAAATAAAATGTACTACTACTACTACTATTATTATTATTATTATTATTATTATTATTAATGTCAGAGTGTATGGGTGTTTCCCAATACTGGGTTGCAGCTGGAAGAGCATCTGCTGCGTAAAACATTTTCTGGATAAGTGGGCGGTTCATTCCACTGTGGAGACCTCTAATGAATCAAGGGACTAAGCCGAAGAAGAATGACCGAATAATATTTGAGCCTGAACTGTGATTCTTAAAGGGATAGCACCTCCAAAAATTGAATTATGGTACTCACCCATAACTTGTTCCATATTTAGTCGAGTTTATATCTTAATTTGAACACAAAATGAGATATTTTGTAAAATGCTGGTTGCTTGGACCCACACTAAAAAAAACACACAATGTTTGATGTATGTTCAAGCTATTTATTTTAAAAGAAGCTGAAACCATGTCATTCTTGAGTTTTTAGGACACATAATTGTTTCATTTTCAATCCACCTAAATGAATAAGTTAACTTAGGGTGTACTCAGAGTAGGCAGAGTTGTCTTGAACCGTGCTGAAGAGCAATCGTTCCCCCTTTTTCTCTCCCCTGACGGCCTGCATTCACACTGCATTTTGCCTTCTGAACCTGAGGATGCTTGCTTCATTGATACGACTGTTCAGTTTAACAAGAAGAGAAGCGCTCTCGCTCAGCAGTGGAAATTGCTTTAGTTCTATCATTTTGTTGTATTATTAGCTGTTTGTGATGCAGTGACACACAGTCAAATATTTTGCCGAACAGATCCACAACTTTTGATGCTCAAATGTTCATAAAGTCAACGTCTTATGAGGTATTAGGAGGTTTGCTGAATGTGCAATGAGGGGTTTACATCTTTGAAAAGCTGACAGTTCACGTTCATTAAAAAGTAAGAATGATTAATAAATCCATATGGAACAGTCCCTTAAAAGTGATATCACATCTTCAGTTTTGAGCTTTTTCAGGTGCACTTTGCACTCCCGCTATAAGAGTACCGCGCCAAAGCCTAACCGAACCGTGGTTTGGCACGCCTCTTCCAACCAGGCCGGGGCCAGACAACTAAACCACGCCTGGGCACAATTTGGAGCACCCATACTTGTCAAACGAACTGAGAAATGTGCCCGGGCATGGATAGCCTAGTGCTAGTGCACTCTTAATTTTTCATCTTGTTCCAACACAAACTGATCACCTAGAAATCAGCATTTTTTACAGTGCACTGATTTTCATAATGTTTTAATTTTATTTTATTTATTTATTTATTTATTTTTATTTTTATTTTAATTTTTTTTACTTTGGAAGTCCATAAGTCCCAGGAACCAGCCTTTTTCAGAATATCCTACTGTATTTTGAACGATAGAAAGAAATGCATGAAAGTTTAAAACTACATGAGGGAGAATAAATAAGGAGGCAGTTGTTTTTGGAGATGAGCTATCCCTTTAAATAGTCTTTTAATATGTCATCAGTTCATTAATTTATTCATTTTACTTTGGCTTAGTCCCTAATTTATAAAGAGTCACCACAGTGGAATAAACCGTCAACTATTCTGGCATATGTTTTACGCAGCAGATGCCCATGCCCATACATTCACACATTCACACACACTCATCCAGTTCACCTATACTGCATGTCTTTGGACTGTGGGGGGAACCGAAACACCTGGAGGAAACCCACGCCAACAAGGGGAGAACATGCAAACTCTGTGCCCACCCTGTCATCAGTTCATTATTGTTTTAAATATGCCTCACAATAATGTTTTCATTTATACTATTGTTAGACTTTAATTGTGGTAAAAATGCACGATAGTCACTGTTTTGTTTTAAAAAAAGAAGAAATAAAACAGGACATGTTCTAATGTACCAACAAACTACCCATAAACTGACCCATAAATAATGAAATCATTCCTTAAATAATTAGGTTTTGTTTTCATCACTAAATGTCAGTCAGACTGTGATCATCTTTGCTGAAACATTAATGGGTGAAAATTGAGGTAATGGACCCTTTTCACAGACTCGGGATGTGTTTACACAGTTATTAACAGTCTAGATTTTCACTTTAAAAGTACATTTAGTACACTGTTTGTTGTGTTGTATTATCATGGATAAAAAAAATATATATAATGCTTTTAAGTAAATGTGTTTAGTATACAGTAAAAACAAAGGAGATAAAGCAAATCTTTGAATCTGCCACTATGGTATCACATAGGCATGTATAGCCCCACCCCCTTTTAGAAAGAGGGCTAGGAGCACAGTCTCATTTGGATTTAAAGCAACAGTCACCAGAATTTCATAGAGTTATTACACATTATTTGTTAGATATTTTGACCTAAAACTTCACATACACACTCTAGGGATATCTAATACGTCTTGTAAAAAGGAAAATAATAGGACCCCTTTAAAGGCACCCTTTCCTAAGATTTGTTTTATTAATATGTCAAAAAAAAAAAAAAAAACTACAGCAATGTTAGATATTTTGCTGGCATATATACTAATAGAAAACCAAGAAACACTGAGGATTCTTTAATATGTTGTGTGTTTTATTCAGCCTGATCTCACAAGGAAATGTAAGTATTTTACATTTTGTAAGTTTAGTGGCTAATTTATTGGCTAAGAGTTCAGTCGTATGGCAATGTGTGATTTTAGAAAGGAGGTGTGGCACCCAACCCTGCCCCTAAAACTCTTCCATCATTGGGGGATGAGCAAATCGTACTTAATTGTACCAATGAGATTGTACGAATTCATACGAATAAGCTACAACTACTACATCAAAATGTTAACAATTGCCGTGAGATTGTGTTGGTTTTATTGGACTGCATGGAGAACATGCACTATGGCAGAACTCTAAGTGAAGTTTATGTATAAACAAATTTCGAGAGGATCACGTGCTTATGATTGCTAGCAGCTGACCCGCATTATCCAATTCACTACGATCCAATCAGATGACTCCTAAACTACTATAAATACCCTGGGGTTTATTCCATTGCTATCTTCGTTTTGAAGAGTCCCCCCTTCCTCCCCTACTCCTCCTTCTTAGACGGGTGACACGGTGGCCCAGTGCCTAGCACTGTCGCATCACAGCAAGAATGTCTCTGGTTCCTGGCTTTACCAAAACTAGCAGACATTTCTGTGCGGAGTTTGCACCTCTCCCCGTGCTCACGTGGGTTTCCCCCGGGTTCCCCTGTTTCCTCCCACCGCCTAAAAACATGCAATTAAGTCAATTGAACAATCCAAATTGTCAACATAGACACGCTTCTAGTTTGTAATTAGTTTCAAGAGCATTCACTTGTTACAGCAGGGGAGTTCTCGAGATCTACCTGAGCTCAAGCTCCCCTCCCGCTTTGCAACGGGAGGGAGCCCTGGGCTCGAGGATCTCATGAGCTCCGGGCTCTCTCGCGGGACAGCATGCCAAACAAGCTTTATAATTAATCATCAGCTAAGTGTGAACTCTTGAAAGTGTATTTAGTATGATAAACAGTGCTGCTTCTTCTCCACATGATCATGAGCGGAAGAACCGAAAGCGGTGACCTAAGCCATAATTAAAGCTCTGCTGCTTTTGTGCTGTATTGTGCTCGTCTCTCATCAGCAGTTGATATAGCTGTCTCTTTTGCTTTGACTGCTTTCAGCTTTAGTCTGCTTCACACTACCATGATGATACATTTTGAATGCTTAAATATTCAACCCCCCTAGTTTTCCGCGATTCCAAAATCGCTGAATTCAACACAAAATCAACAAAAAGTCGCAAATATCCTAGCGAAATTTTTAATTAAAACACAAAATGATTACAAAAAAGTAAATAATCTCATAAAACATCCAATTCCAAACTATATAATCAAACTATATTTATTTCAGTTTGCAATTAATTGTTTTACATGACTTATAAACATTGCATACGCAGCGCACGTGATGTACAGACGTGCTTCAGACTGCAAAAGAAAGTGTGAGCAAACATCTAACAAGCGGGGCAATGGAACAGACAGAAAAGCAAGTAGCTTACGATGAAGGTGATTGATTCAAGGATGACGGCTGCTGCACGTGACCGAATTGAAGGACATTGTATGTGCTTTACATGTCTGGCTGGTATTAAGGTGTGCGTATAATCGGTAAATGTTTGCATTTAACTCTTTTCCTGCAGTTAAGGAAAGAAAACGCTTCTCTGTCATTGATGAGTTTTATGGCAATCTGTGTTTTAGGTGTATTATGGTAGGGGAAGCCCTATCGCATGTCCTCAGTGATGTACATCAGTGTTTCCCAACCACATTCCTGGAGGACCACCAGCACTGCATGTTTTGGATGTCTCCTTAGTCTGTCACATTCATTACAGGTCTTTCAGTCTCTGGTAATGAGCTGATGATCTGAATCAGGTGTGTTTGGTTAAGGAGACATGGAAAAATGTGCAGAGCTTGTGGTCCGTCAGGAACGTGGTTGAGAAACACTGATGTACATGATGTCAGATGCTCCGGGTGAGAGAGAGGAAGTAAGATCGTGGATAAAAATAAGAGTCATACAACCTTTCTTTGGCTTAATCCCTACCGTTTTAGATCTGTTTTAGATCTTGTTTTGACAAGAGACCAAAATAAAGAATCTTTTTTTTAATTTTTTTTATTTTTATTAAATTGTCTACAAATTTCTGGGAATTACCACCAAAAAAAACTGTCATTTTGTCTTAAAATCTTGAAAAAAACATTGGTTCTAACTATTCACATATGATTTAGTAAAGACTACAACTCCCATGATTCCACACTCAGTCACAGCATCATCAAAATACATCTTTGTTTGTTGTGAACATGCACCCTATAGTGGCAAAGATGACATTAACTTGACAATAACTTTAACATAATTCAATTGAGCTACTCATGGTTAATGTTTGTGGTGTTCATTAAAACCAATCAGTACATCTACTCACTTGACCAGGTGGCTGATTGTATCCGGGTCCCGAGCTGACACTATCCCAATCGAGCTTCCAACAGGGCTGTCTTCGTCCACCTCGAAAATGTACAGCGCTCGACTGAAGACCGGAGGTTCATCCACATCCGTGACAGTGATCCGGACTATCGCCGTGTCGCTGAAAGGCCCCTGTTGCTCAAAGCGTCGATCTATATGAGTGTTGGTCACCTGCACCCGCAGTGAGTACAATCTTCTGCTCTCGTAATCTAGTTGCTGAACGAGAGAAAGGTTACAAGAGGAAAAGATAAGATGTTAGGTCACTCTGAATAAAGGGAGGCTTACTTTCAGGATCTTTTTTTGAACTCAGGTCTATTCGGTCACAGATTAACGACATGCTCTTGTGATGTCGCCCTAAACTTTTTCCTCGTTTTTGCATACGTTCTTTGAAGGGTGCTTATCGCCATGCCTTTTCTTTTGAGTTGAATGCCTTTTATTATAAAGGCAGGGCATCGTGCTTTAATGCAGCCTTTTAATTATGAAACGATTAAAGACTCAAGGTGCGATCTTTTACCTTTCGCTCATTCAGGCCGTCTTCCGTAGCTATCTTTCATTCTAGTTTAAGCAATAAGATTTGCATAATTGCCTGAGCTTCGTCAAAGCCTGACCTGACAGAGAGAGAGGAAATAAGCTATAGGCAGATTTCAGCAGGCAAATAGATCCCTGCGCCACACAAAAGGGAAAAAGGGACTTTTTGGGCTGTGAATAGAATTAAGCACCTTTGTAAAGTTGATAGGACACGAAGGCTTCGATTTAGGGGATTACTTTCTAAGCACTGCGCTTTGTATAGGCGCGTGCATATAAAAGAATGAGAATGAGGGGAAACCGTCACATGCTGTGGATTTTATTTCCAAGCTGCGACTTACAGTGTGATGTGTAAAGGTGCTGTATGTAAGTTTTGGACATTTCTAAGTCTCAAAAATACCATAATACTGTATGTTTGCTAATATTTAAAAAGTACATGATGAATGAACATATTTTTTATTTGAAAAGTTATGCTAAAATCAGTTATTCCAGATTCCGCGATCTCTGAATCCAACACAAAATCAACAGAAAGCTGCACATTTTTGCTATCCTAAAGCATTCTTAATTTAAACGCAAAATAATTGCAAAAAAGAAAAAACAAAAAACAAAAAAAACATCCTATTCTAAACCATATAATCAAATTGTGTTTATTTTAGTTTGCAAGTAATTGTTTTACATCACTTATAGACGTTGCATACATAGCGCACGAGATGTATTTGAATGTCTCTCGAAAAATGTCTAACCTGTGCCCTCACAGTCTAAACATTGTGTGATCAAATTGAAGGATATTATTTTTGCTTTACGTGTATGACTGGTAGACTGTTATGATGTGCGTCAAATCGATAAATGATTTTCCCTGCTGTTGACGAGAGAAAACGCTTCCACGAAAAACGTTCACGAGTTTTACAGCAATCTGTGTTTTAAATGTATTATGGTAGGGGAAGCCTTAACATGTGTCCTGAGTGAGGTACATGATGTCAGATGCTCTGGGGAGTGAAATCTGAGAGAAAAAGTAAGATTGTGGATAAAAATAAGAGTTATACAATCTTCTTTACCATTTTAGATCTTGTTTTATATTTATTTATATATATATATTTATTTATTTATTATTATTTATATATATATATATATATATATATATATAAAGTTTTTAATCGCAAACGTGTCTGCAAATTTCTTGGAATTACCACCACAAAATCTGTCATTTTTATTGCAAAAAATTACTAAAAAATCTTGAAAAACTAAGGGGTCTGAATTGACATAAAATCAATCCACATAAAATCCCCACATAATAAAACATGATTTTTCAAACAGACTTCATAACATTTGGGATTGTTTACCTTCTTTACCATTATCACTCCTTCTTGGCTAGTGCTGTCCGTGATGATATTGAACACATCTTGCCCATCCCCTTCCAGGATAGAGTACCACATCTCTGCGTTCTCCCCCACATCTGCGTCGTATGCTTTGATCCGACCCACCGATGATCCGATTTCGGTGGACTCGGGAGTGGAGAGATGGTAGTTACCTGAAGAAGAAGAACAAAATAAATCAATTGAGTAAACAGTCAGGTGTTTGTATGAACTCTTTGTTCTCGGGTGAGGCGCTTCAGCGTGCATTTGTCTGTTTGTTTATCCTCCTCTCGGGGGAAAAGCGGTGCTGCCTCTCAGTGGTTATTCTTTAATAGAATTTCAGCTCCGATGAGCCATTGGAGAAGGTTCTTTTTAAACCCAGTTTGCAGAAACTGTTTCTGATGTGGCTCTTGTATTGGATTTGAGACTGTGGCAAAGAGAGAGGGATTATCACCCCAAATGAAGCGCCTGCTGCGCTCTCTTTCTCTCTCCCCATCCCTCTGTCTTCTTCTTTTTCTATCCCCCCTTCTCTCTCTCACTCTAAAAGCCGCTTTCGTTGGAGATTTTGTTTGAGTTCACATTGTGATTCATTCTGGTCAGTCACAGAAATGGGCCCCCGAGCATTTCCGACTGAACCACAATGTTCGTGTTTTTATGAAATATGACTTGCAGAGAAACCCATGCCATCTGAACGCTTAATTTCATATGCTGATTGAGCCGGAGTCTATTTGCAAGTCCAGCCACAATTCTCCTCATAAACACTGCTAATCTAGCCCACATCAATTATTAAGAGTTGACTGGCAATCAAACGAGCGCGGATTTGATTTACACCTGCTGGGCTTATTCTAAGCCTTTTGTTCTCTGCATTTTTTCTCCCATAGAATAATAAAGTCAAGATGTTTTGCACTAAATTGAGTCATTATTTAGTTTTATGTGACCTAACATGCACTGTTTTTGGTGTTGTAACTTTAAGGCCTCATTTTGCAAACATCCCCTTGTAGCTTGAAGCATTTTGTATGTGGAATCGTGGCTACTTAACACTTCTTTTTTTTACTTAAAGTATTAAATTATGAGCTAAATTAAATGGTAAATCACTCTGCCGTCAACACCAAGGTCATGGATTTGCTTTCCTGGGAGGGTTGTAGCTTGAATTCATTATAAGTTGCTTTGGTTAAAGTTTGATGTCAAGTGTGTTTAGTCAGTTGCATCAATCAAGTCTGAATTTGAAATTCCAGTTCTGTTCTTAAATTTATGTACCAAACACTCTCTAAAAAAATGCTGGGTTATTTCAACCCAAAACCTAGGTGAAATAGGTTGAAAACATAGGTTTACATTTCATTTTCAAACCAAAGATTGGGTTGATTTGTATTTATTACTTATTTTTATTATATATATATATATATATATATATATATATATATATATATATATATATATATATATATATATATATATATATATATATATATATATATATATATAAAAAATATATATATATATTTTATATATATATTTATATATTTATATATATATATATATATATATATATATATATATATATATATATATATATATATATAAATATATATATATATAT